TACCTATGCAGCCCTAGTTAAATCAGATCTAAGCATGTTTTGCATTTAAAATGAATCTTTCAGGAGCCCCTGCTCAGTGAGTATTTCCATCATCACCTTCTTTGGGAATTCTGTTAATGCTGGTTTATCAAATCCGAAGTTTTCTCCTCCCTCTTCCTTTGCCTGCATTCTCAGTCTGAAGTGTTTCTTATCTGCAGCATCTTCCTGAAATTCTCTGTTGTGTTGACTGTCCCTCCTTTTCTTTAGGTGAGAACCCAGCATTTTTGCTCTACTCCTACCCATTGGCTCCTTCCCTGAGAGGCAGGCAGCAGGAGAAGCAGAATAATCTGGGGCCTCGGGGTCACACGTGGTTGAAAATTCCATCTGCACTGAGGGAAACTTAGCTGAGCCTCAGCTTTCTGGTCTGTAAAATGTAGAGAATTGCACCCATCTCATAGGATTTATGTGAAGACAAAACAAATTCGTTAGGTAAAGCACCCATCCTGGCCCTTGGCCCACCATAGGTGATAATGAATTTGTTTGCCTTTTAAAAATATCTTCTCTTTATCCCCTCACCCTTTATTATTGCCTTTCTTCTCCTTCCTTCCCCTAGATATAGATTTCTTTATATGTATCCTCCCTGAGCGATCGCATCCATTTTATTCTCCCCAAAGATAATCCCAACTCTGTATCAGTGCTTTCAGTCCCGAAGATTTGATAGTGGTTCAACAATGAATAATGTGTTCCAGGGTCACAGAATGTCTTAAATCTTTTCTCAATCCCCACTCCTCAGAGCACTCGCTTCTGCTGATAGTGCCACAGGCACACAAGGGTGAAATGCAAGCCCCTGCCGCCTGCCCGCCGAGCCCTGTGGAATCTTCTGCAGCACCTCTTGAGTGGGCAGCATCATCATCTCCCACCGGCACAACTTCCATGGTGTACAAGGACCTCTCCCACCTTCAATCTCTCGTAGCCAATTCTTTTTGCGCTTTGTCCCCTAAAAGCACAGTTTGAATCATGTTACTTTCCTGATTAATACTCTTAAGTGACTCCTCATTGCCTATAACTTAGGTTATAACTCAGCTCTTTGGTCAAAGCCTTCACCTTTGAGCCCAGAACTTATTTTCAGTCTCATTTCCCCACAATATGCATCCTGTGCTCCCATCAAAGGAGACTAATCGATGTTCCAAGAACACACCCTTGTACTCTGCTGCCGCTGCCTTTGTGTCTTTTGTTCCCGCTGTTTCCTCCCCTATCCATGCTTTCCTCCTCACCCCTCCAATTTCTCCTTGTACTCTTGCCCATTCTGGAACACCCAGGTTAAAGACTTTGGACACTTGTTGATAAAACTGGCTCCTTCCTTGGTCCCCCTTCACCACCCTCTGCCTTCCCTACCCAACCCTTGTTTCCTCTGGCTCCTTCCCTGACTCACCCCCAGGGTCCTGCTGTAGCTTTTCTTCCCCCCAAACACTAGATCAGCACTTTCCACACTGTTTTATCACAGAACACTTCTTAAAAATCGTAGAATTGAAGAATACAGTACACAGACAGTACAGAGTGAATTGACAGACCAATTCATTGCTGTAAGAAACATTCAGCCACACCCTTTTATAAACTTGGCAATGACTCCATGAAGTTGGATCATCATACCATGTGCATATCACATTTCTTCTTTTTTTTTTTCTTGTATTGCAACACAACATAAAGTCTCACTTCCCACAGGTATAATATAACCAAGAGAAAACGAAACATGAACCTTATTTTTATTGTTCCTTTGCAGGTTTTTTTCGAAAGTAAAAACTTTTTTTTATCTTTGAAGTCCTCAGCTTTTTACTACTTCAATTTAGGCACGATCTGAGAAATATGACTCAGCTTTTTATTAAAACTTCCATTTTTCAGGCAGAGATCCATAGATATTAAGTGTATGTACTAGTAATGTGTAATATGCAATAAAGGGTTAATAGCATCACAAAAATATGTTGAACTTATCAGATACAGACCAGCAATCATTACAAGCGAAATATATTAACGATGGCAAATAATGCCTATGCTTCCCACTCATTCATGCATCCGGGGCCTCTCCATGCCAGATCCTGGCATTCCCAATAGGGCACAAATTCCACACAGGCATATACTTGCATAACAACAAGGACTGTGTACAGTGTGTAGTGTTTTGCTTATATATAAGGCAGTTTAGATTTAAAAGTCAGTAGAGTTGTTATTATTCTTGCTGCACTGCACTCATTAACATCTCCCTGGACAAATGTAGTTTGGAAAACATTGTCCTAGTATACTTGCTTTCATTTACATAATTTCAGTTATCACCTGCTAAGCCACAAATCTAACATCCTCCAAGAAAATTTACCTTGATATTGCTAATTTGGACAGTACTCAAATTTGCATTTCCACAGCTCCTGGCCGTCAGAGTTCAGTATGTACCGGGGAAGAAATGGTGGAAGGGAGGGAGGAAGCAGGGAATCTTACTGATTCTTACATTTCTGTAAATTTGATGTTGGTCGTGAAAGTGATAAAAGGTCAAGTTCACAAAATCATTTAGCATAAAATTTCTAATTTAAGTTAAATATGAGTATAATTTGAATGACTGAAGTGAGGGGTCAGTAGAGATAAAACAGGCTTTCTAGTGAGATTTGGCAAGTAGAAAATGTGGTTTTGTTAAAAAACATACTCTGAGACTACAAAAATAGTTACATAATTTTAAGATTACATATAGCCTAGACCAGTGGTCGGCAAACTCATTAGTCAACAGAGCCAAATATCAACAGTACAACGACTGAAATTTCTTTTGAGAGCCAAATTTTTTAAACAGATTTAAAAGTCAGTAGAGTTGTTATTATTCTTGCTGCACTGCACTCATTAACATCTCCCTGGACAAATGTAGTTTGGAAAACATTGTCCTAGTATACTTGCTTTCATTTACATAATTTCAGTTATCACCTGCTAAGCCACAAATCTAACATCCTCCAAGAAAATTTACCTTGATATTGCTAATTTGGACAGTACTCAAATTTGCATTTCCACAGCTCCTGGCCGTCAGAGTCCAGTATGTACCAGGGAAGAAATGGTGGGAGGGAGGGAGGAAGCAGGGAATCTTACCGATTCTTACATTTCTGTAAATTTGATGTTTGTCGTGAAAGTGATAAAAGGTCAAGTTCACAAAATCATTTAGCATAAAATTTCTAATTTAAGTTAAATATGAGTATAATTTGAATGACTGAAGTGAGGGGTCAGTAGAGGTAAAACAGGCTTTCTAGTGAGATTTGGCAAGTAGAAAATGTGGTTTTGTTAAAAAACATACTCTGAGACTACAAAAATAGTTACATAATTTTAAGATTACATATAGCCTAGACCAGTGGTTGGCAAACTCATTAGTCAACAGAGCCAAATATCAACAGTACAACGATTGAAATTTCTTTTGAGAGCCAAATTTTTTAAACTTAAACTATATAGGTAGGTTCATTGTTATTAACTTAATTAGGGTACTCCTAAGGCTTAGGAAGAGCCACACTCAAGGGGCCAAAGGGCCGCATGTGGCTTGCGAGCTGCAGTTTGCCGACCATGGGTCTAGATGTACTCTTTTGCTACATTTAAAAATTTGTAAATTGTCAATTTATTTTCTGATTTCCCCTCATTCTTGGGTTTCATTTTTCTTGGTGCCAAACATCTAGTCTGATCAGTTAAGGGGAGAGGGCTGGGGAGGTCAGTGGAATTTGTCATGGCACTGCGCTGGCGTTCTAGCCTCAATTTTGGTCATCATCTGATTATCTACTTTATGTCTGCCTGCTTTGGGGCCTAAATACAATCTAGAGTTGCTCTCTGGATCATAGAGAATCTATCATTTGATTATTTTACACTAGAGGCCCAGCGCACAAAAATTTGTGCACTGGCGGGGAAGGGGATTGGGGGAGTGTCCCTCAGCCCCACTTGTGCCCTCTCACAGTCTGGGACCTCTCGTAAGGTGTGGACGGAGTCGGCGAAGAATGAATGACACAGAGGCAGCATTCAGTTGATCATCATAGTTGGGTTCCTCAGCCAGGTTCTGTTGCCAGGTTCTGCAGGTTCTCTTGCCAGGTTCTCCAGCCAAGTTCTGTAGTCAGGTTCTAGCCAGGGTCTCCGGCCATGTTATCGCTGTCCCGCCCTGCCTGCAGTATGCAAATTAACCACCATCTTTGTTGGTAGTTAATTTGCATATCGTGCTGATTAGCCAATGGGAGGCATAGCGAAGGTATGGTCAATTACCATGTTTGTCTATTATTAGATAGGATTATAACAGGTAAGTCTTTTTGAAGTAGATTCTAATCATTGTCCCGCTATTGTTCTATGACTAATACTACTTATCCCTTTGTAATGAGGATAGATAGTCCTGCTTTCAGTGTAGTTTTTTTTTTTTTGTTATTTGACCATTCTTTATTATATTATGAAAAAAATAGACTAACCTGCTGGGGTCCAACCCCAGCAGGTCCAGGGATCCCCAAAGGTTGGACGGAGT